AGCAGGGAGCTGCGCCAACGCTCTGGTGTGAGGGTGCCGGTGGCCAGTCTGCATCATTATTTTTTCCTTCTATTGTAAGGGGAAATGACCATTCCCAATGCTCAGCATGATGTTGTTTTCTTGGGGAAGATAGCTTCACGGCAGAAAAAGGGATTTTAATAACAGAGCTGTCAGTCAGAAAGGAAAATGACTGCTGCCATGTAAGACCCGAGACCCGACTTTTTTTTTTTTTTTTTTTTGGCTTCTATACTTTCTGAGGAAACATATGATAGCTCTATTTCCAGGAATTGCAACCAGGAACAGAGAATGGGCCTAAGAAAATTGGGGGGGAGGGGGGGGGAAAGACCTGCAGTTAAAAAAGGCTTAAAACTGAAAGATCCTTTGTGAGCCTTTAGTTGCAGAACGGAGCCCAGAAGGTGACCTGATACAACACTTCAGTAGGCAGTTTGCAAGTTTTGAGCATGATGCTGTTACTCACTTTGAGGGCATGTATGGTAGGGAAATGGCACTTAGGGCCTGTGACCCCACCTAACGCAGGTCATCCACCTGCAGAAAGTGTGGATCAAAGAGTGACAACTCTGCCCACTGGTTCTCTCAGAGAAACTTGTGAGCTTTCACAGCTCATGAGTAACGCCTGCCTTTCAAAGGGCAGCTGTGGACCAAGACCTGCTAGCCAAATCGTGGTATTGCCATGCAAGTCTTCAGGAGGGAGAAGGTGTCTGATGAGAGATTTGATGGGCTGCAGACTCAGAACTTCAGACCTGATTTTTTCCCGTGCAGTAGCTTGCACGGAAAAAGCACACACCTTGCAGGCTGCAGAGGGGCAGCAAACAGGGCGTTTGATAGCAAGGTACTGACGAAGAGGCGTTTTGTGAGCACAAAGGCAGATTGTTTGTTTGAGAGCCTCCTCCATCATGGCAGAGCATCTCAGAGAAGAACCAAGGGATCTTCTGCAACTCGTGTTTTAGGGAGCTTCTAGGTTAACTTAAATTAAAAAAACAACAAAGGAGAAAATGTGAAGCAATCTTGGTTCTGTGTGTATAAACTCTTGAGGACAGATAACCAGGTAGAGCCACAAACTGATTATTGTCAGCAAAATCAGTACTACAGGCCCCCCAGCTACTGTCTCTGAACCTTTTCAGTCTTAGCCTCACCTGACTCAGGTAAGGACATCTCCAGTCAGTCAGTCACACAGCACATAGTGCATATTCACTACGCCTCACTGGTAAGGCACGTTCCAGGAGTGGAGAAATCCAGGATCAGATACTGTAAAGGACTGAGGAATACTTGTACTGCTACAGATTTCACATCTCTGCCTTGCTGTGTGTGTGACCCTGACAGAGACAGGGAGAGTTTTCACCTCTCTGACTCACCGGGACTTTGCACTCCCTGATTAACTGAGTCATCGGGGGTTTCCTATTCCTGTGAGATTTTCCCTGAACACAGAGACCCACCTGCCCCACCTTGTGAGACTGAAGCAACGCATGGAAGAGCATGCACAGAGCCTATGTTTAATAACTGCATCACACACGTCACCAAACACTTTCCATTGTGCATTTGATGCTTTGCATGCAGACAGATCACACCACTTAGTGTTTAATAATACAGCAGGTCCCAACCACTGGATACCTCTCCCTTCACTCAACAAGAGAAGTGTTTTTCTAGGGACAGATCCACCATGAGGTGCAGTAAGAGCAACACTCTGTGCTTTCCTTGCAGTAATTATTCTTCATTTGCTGACCTGCTGGTTTTTAGGATTGTCATTAACAATCAGCAGAGTGCTAAATTACAGCTGAGGAGTTATTCACACTGTCTCCAAGTTCATTCTCTCCAAATCGCATTC